GTGTTCATTAGGGAGATTGGTCTGAAGTTTTCTTTTTTTGTGTTTTCTTTGTTAGGTTTTGGTATTAGTGTGACGTTGGCTTCGTAGAACGTTTAAACCACAATACCTTTTAATTTTAAGCTTCACACGTTTTGCTTTGGAAAGCTGTCCACTCAGTTCTACATCCAGAGCCCAGAGCAGTGTGCAGGGAGGAGTCTCTCCTCCCAGTCCCCTCACACCCAGTTCTCCTGGCAACCTCAGGTCTTCTTTCCAGGGGCATCTGATCCCCAAACAAGTGAAGATAAGTACTCCCTTTTATTTAGACAACTAAGCTCTTAAGAGTATTTCTGATCATCTCCATTTTATGCACGAGGTACACGAAACACAGAGTGTAAGCCCCTGGCTTAAAACCATACAGACAGTAAGTGGCAAATGATGGGATCTGAATCCAGGCATTTGGGCTCCAGATGCGCTACCTTTGCTCCTAAAGAGTAACAAAGCAAACCCAGAGCCTGCACCTCACCTTCCTGTCATTGCATGGCCTGTTTTGCAGGGTTTCCACTGGCACTGAGAGATCTTCCTCATCCTTCCTTACAGCTGCACAGTATTCCATTTTATGAATATACCACCACTTTTTAAAGACAGTATATTGATGGGAATTTAGGTGATTTCAGAAGTTTTCAACCAATACTTTTAAGAAGTCAGCAGAGAGACAATGGATTTGCACCCTTTGTTGTTACTCCTCTTCCCCTTGTTAATTTGCACACAAGTGAGAGACCTGACCACTGTGTGCCTAGTTTCACAGACTGCAGCACGGTCACACACGGCAGCTTATAGAATGTGATCCTCACGCCTCCATCAGAAAGTACTATGCTGTGTCTAAATATCAAGTGAGGGCATCTGAGGTCAGAGAAGATGGGAAGGGGGTTGCCCATGACGAGATGACCCAGCTGGCGCCTGGAGTCATCTCTGCAGTCTTTCCCTGCTGATCTTGGGAGTGAGCTGTTAACAGCAAGTGCTGCCCCCCACCACAATGTATCCCCAGTTCCTGGTGCCTCTTCTCAGATCCTGTTCTCCTTATCTAATTTGCATTTTCTTCTTTTTTCTAATTTGATGGAGGTGTAGGAACTTTTCAAGCATTCTTTCTCCTTCTACCAGGTACTGAAGGGTACTGAAACGCTACTCCTATCACTCACTCGAGCACTGCTTATTTCCACTTGGAATATCAAGAAAACGCTGTGTTCATAGTTCATCCACTTATGATGAAATGGTTTTCCTTCTTTCCTAACTCTTCTTGACTGTGCTTACAAGTTGTGATTTGGAAGCGGTTTTAGCTTAAATGTAGTCATTACATTCACTTGAGTTTTAGGAGGTTGGATAGTATTAAAAATCATAACCCATAAAAATGACAAGTTTTGTATCTGTGTACAAAATATATCTATGTACAATCTGTGTGCTACATGCAATAAATGTGTTCACTGTCTTATTAGTGAAACCAGCAAAGTTTGATCAGATTTTTTTTTCTTTTCTAGCTATGACCAGCGAGGAATGTACCTATTAGTTGGAACATCAGTAGGATACGTCTTTGTTATCAACGCCAACCCCTCAAGCTTATTTCAGATTCTTGGATTTATAGGTACTACACAGAACATTTGTCAATTTAAAATGTTGGTACTTTATCCCAAAGAATTTAAGATTATGAGACTAGGGCTATCGAGAAATAGCTACATCTTTCATGATTTCTAAAATAGCAACATATAAATAACTGATAAAAGTTATTTAGGAGAATTCCCAAGTCATAGAGGTTTTTTGGTGCATCTGCTTGGTACATAGTTGATGCTAAATAAACTTTCATTCATCAATTAAAGCATTAATTAAAGGGTTAAGTGTTTCTAATATTTTAAAGGGACATTGATTTGGCTTATCCCTGAACTTTAAAAACATATCACTTATGTCTACCTAATAATCATATCTAAGGAACATTTTATTCCATGTTTTTTCTTTAAACAAAATGACATCCTGCTGTTTCAGTCATCAGCATCCAGGAGAGCCACATATCTAGCAGGCAAGCTAGCATGCCTCTGAGGAGTACAAGAACTAATGCTTTCTCTTTGCTTTTAAGTACCAGATAAATATTTTCCCCACAATATATTTTTAAATCCACTGAGTTTTTAAAATCATTGAATGCCCACTTGGTATAAAATGCTGACCTGAGTCCCGTGGAGGCATGGAAGGGCCACAGAGACCATTTGGTGGAGGGGAATATATGGAGGATGTAAAGGCTCAGAGGAATAAGCAATTCATTCTTCCGGTTGAGGAAAAGGATGGAAGTGAAGGGGGGCACAAGCATGAGTGAGCACTGAAAGCAGCAAAGGACGGGCTTCTCAAGATTCCGGCTCTAGACAAATGTCTGAGCTAAGGTGCTGGGAGTAGCAGGAAGTCTGGTGTAATAGGTAAAGTGGAGAGTCTATTACTGGAGGTCTTGGCCACGAAATCTGAAAGAAGACAAAGTATCTTGAATATCCTTCCAAAGAGATGGACTTTGTTCTGTGATGAATGAGACATCAGCAGAGGTTTTCAAGATAGGACCAGCATGGTTTTTACTGGGTGGCACCAGTGCGAAGGATGACACAGAGGGAGAAGAGAATGGAATAGAAAGGTGAGTTAGTGAACTATTATAGGAGCCCAGGCAAGAGGCGATAATAATCCTAACAAGAGCCAACCTTTCTCAAGTGATTCCTTACCCCATGATAGCCAGTGTTTCAAGCACTTGGCTTGTGTTCATTCATTTAATTCCTAGAGACAGCTTTTACGAGACAGAAACCACCTCTGTCCATAGATGCAGCAACTGAGGCACAGCTAAGTGCTGCTCATGCAGCGAGGAAGGGGTGGCGCCAGCCCTGGCCTCAGAAAGTTTGACTGCAGATGTGGCGCTCTTCTCCCCACTGCGCAAACTCATGCCACAGTCACAGAACAGAAAGGCAGGCACAGCTACGAGTGGTAAAACCGATAGAACCTGGCCTTCAATTACATGCGAAAGGGAAGAATTAGATCCAAAAGTTCTAACCTGGATAGTGACAGTTTGCAATGTCATCGACTGTAGTAGGAACCCTGGGGAAAGGGAAGTTACCGTGGTTGAAGTAGGTGTTAAGGGGAGCTTGGCTCCGTAGACTTGAAGCCGATAAACTAACCTGGGAATGCTTAGTGTATGTTTGGAACTGGAGATTTTTAGTTCAAGGTTTAATGATAAAATTCTGATCTGCAAATCATGGAAGCTGATAAAATGGCTTGAGATGATGGAGTAAAAGCAGCTTAATGAGGTCAGATAACTGAAATGTCAATTAGATGAGGTAGAATGCGCAGGACCTATGGCTGACCAGAGAGTAGATGCAAGTCTTGCCTAGAAATTCCATTCTTTAACTATCTGATCACTTAGAATGTGGGCGTGGCTCACATATTGAAACTGTGGACAGAGGAGGAAGTGGCAGTGAAGAGATTGAAGAAGGACAGAGTGGTGAGAGACCTGGACGTCATGCACTTGAAAGAAGCTTTAAGGCAGGCTGGGGGGAGGCGGGAGCTGGTAGCAAAAGTGTGAATAGGGTGAAGATGGGGATGACACCCTTATGGATTTGCCAGTCAGCAGGTGACCCCAGGAGAAGTCATCCTTTGGATTTGCCAGTCAGCAGGTGACCCCAGGAGAAGTCCTCCTTTGGAATGGGGAGAGAAGAGGGTAGGGAAGAAGGGGGTCAGTAAATGAAATCAGCAAGTAACAGGTGCTGTTGTGAGTTTGCAGTAAAGACAGGAAAGTTGGATGGTGACTGTGGTGGGGTACTGAAGGAAAATTATAATTTGAAGAACTCTTGAGCATTGAGAAGAAACCAGGGAAGATATGAGAAAATAAAGTGTTCTTTGATCAAACATATAGTTTAATAGGAGATTGGAGGCACAGAGTCAAGATTCTAGACAGAAAGGGGTTATGTTTTGTTCTTACAAAAATATCAGAAATGAAGAGGGAAGATATGAACAGAAAGATGAGTGATTTGGGGTAAGTAAGCTAAAGTCCGGGCTGTGTCAGTGGCCTCAGCCTCCCACCAAGCCTCTGGGGGACGCCTGCTATGGAGGGCCTGGGCAGTGGACACTTGAAGAAAATCCCATGTGGGACTGGGAGTGGTAAGTCTGGAAAGGAGGCCCCCGGGTATGGCACCTTGCAGAGGCAGAAGTCCCCCTGGGTTTCAGGAGAAGCCAGCCCATGAAGTCATGGGTACCTCAGCATACTAGCAAAACCTGACTACAGGTTTACAGGTGCAGAGACACAAGTTTACCCAATCCTGGGAGTGGGAAAACCTGCTGGAGTAGAGGGTCAAGGGGCCAGAACATGCAGGTGCTCCACCGCCTGGCCAGGGGATGAAGCTGAGTGTCAAACCCAGCGGGGAAACCCCGGCACCAGGCAGGAGCTTCCCCTACCTGTTCTTTAAAAGTGGCCCATATCGCTTAGGTTTAAATGTCACATTAGGTATGAAGTGAATAAATGGAAGTACAGATTTAACATAGGCAATTCTATAATGGAATGTTTTGCCTGGGGAGATAAAAGTTTCCTTTTACTTAGCAGTGCTCACTTGTGTGAATTCTGTTTGCTTTCAGAGGTGGGCAAAGACATTTTACAGATTTCCACAGTGTCTCTTTTGGAAACAGACATAGTGGAAGTGATGGTGCTTTACCCACTCCCAGACTCAGGAAAAAGCAGGCTGGTAATATTCACTCTGCCTAAAGTACTATCACAAGGTAAGAAAAAAACATACAATCAATTCTGTGCTATGCTTTTTCTTCTTTTTCTTTTGTGGTGATAGAATTTTTTTCTCTTCACATGTGAAGATGTAAAATGGCTACCTTTTGTTATGCTGCCAAGAGAGACTGAAGTCTGCCACACAGTGGAATGTGGCCTCCTCCAGGCCTCAGTGCCCAGGAGTCACAGTCACCTCCAGATGAGGGATCCACTGTCACTTCTGTCAAACTGACTCATCATTTTCCAATGTCTCTAATTTGTAGTTTTAAATATACATAGTTACATTCAGCAGGTTATTGTGAAGTTACTTTCACTAATAAAATTACATAGAAAGCTTTCTGGATTAAGAGATCTGATAAAGTAGACATTCTTTGTTTCAGATAATGAGTTTGTCTGGGTAGCTATCTCACAAATGTCTAATAAATAGTGGAGGATTAAAGAACTGAAAACTTCTCAGTAATTTTATTTTTCCCCCTTTTTTTGTAAAGATTTCTTTTATTTATGTATGCAAGAGCTGGGGTGTAAGCCAGAGGTGTGGGAGGCGAGAAGATTCACCAGAGACAGAGTTGGGGAGCAGAACAGTCTGACGTACTGAAACACACTGCTGAGGGGAGCAGCAGGTGTTGCAGGAGAGGTCTGTTGTGCCATGGCGGTTAACTCCCTGGTTGACTGCTATAGCTTCATTGTCCCCTGAGTCACCAGGAAGGCCCATGCTTTAATGTTTTAATTAAGAATCTCTAGACAGGGCTTTCCCTGTGGCACAACAGATGAAAGCACCGCATTATGAAACTCTCTGAAGCCACTGAGGCTCGAGTTTGATCCCAGGCCATGGCGCACCTCTCCTGACCCACTGCTGCTCCCCTCAGCAGTGTACTTTGTCGATCTGTCTGTTCTGCTCCCCACTCTGTCTCTGGTGAATCCTCTCATTGCCCCTGCACCTCTGACCTTTATCCCAGTTCTGTAAGCATAAATAAATAAATCTTTTTTAAAAAAGACTTTTAAAAAGAATCTCTAGACAATCATGAGTTTCTTTAATGATATGTCTCTACCTAACTGATGAAATTACCAAGATCATGCAGCAGATATTTTATACCTATTGGTCATTTAATACGCGAGTGTTTCTAATGGAGCCAAGATGTTTTTTAAAATTCTTTTTATCACTTAGTAGCTCTGAATTATTAATTGAGCACTTAATTTTTTTCTTTTGCTTTACATAGTTGTTCATAATTTTTTTTAAACATAAAATTGATCTATGGTACAAGTGATGTCTCTTCTTCCCCAAATCTGATAGTTCCTCTAGCCTTTACTAATGAAAGAGGGAGGCTGAAAGATGAATTAATCCATACGTGCCTATATGAGACAGAGCACCCCCTGTCCTCGGCGGCGCTTGACTTCCACAGTCTCCGAATCTACGGCTACTGCAGCCATGTGCCATACATCTGCAGCTACCATCTTCCCAAGCAGGTAGGCCACATTGAAGAGTGCCATCCTTTATCTTAGCAATCAAACTGATCCACAGTATTACCAGACATGATCCATGCGTTAACGTGACAGTGCAGTTGATAAAAGGCTTTAATATAGTAACATAATTTCTCTGAAGTAGATACATGTCAGCATGACTTGTCAATCCATTACAAAACACGTTTGAACAACCTCACATTCACATACCTCACACTTGTCAGCGAAACATGCAGATGACACATCTTAGGTTAGTGCCTAGACAACCTAGTGTTAGAAAAGCTATACCCCTCAGGTGTCAGGTTGATGATTTGCAGTGGAACTTTGCACTTGAGCCCCAAGCAAAATGGCACAAACAGCTAAAGGGTATCTCCTGTATCCGTTTATTATGTTCTCTTCAATTTCTCCCATACTCTGTCACCTTTCTACCCACACCGATTGCCTTCCACCTGTCCTCTCTAAGCCCTATAGTCCAAGCCCTTCTCTTCCAGAGTAGCCAGTGTCACAAGATGAGATATATAAATTTCAGAGAAGGAAGAACTGATTTATGGCAAAGAGGGTTCCACAAAAGTAACTTGAGAAAAGTAGTATTTGAACTGGACTTGGAAGAATAGGTCATATTTAGACATGGAGAAAGACTGAGCGCCATTGTGGGGTGTGTGAGGTAAGGAAGGGACAAGGTTGGTGGGGATGGGACTGGAAAGGTCATTACGCTCAAAAATCATGTCACATACTGAGGCACAGAGGTGGGAACTACATGAGATAATAGAGGGTCAGGGGATGTTAACTTATTTTTCACTTGAGCACAGGGATATATGAAAATGATTAGGGAAAAATAAGGATAGCCAGTGTAGGCCAAGATCTTTAATGATAAAGTTAACATAAAGAAGACTTTTCTTTTTAATCAAAACAAATGTATTTGCAAGCAAAGAAGAAAACCGTGGCGCAAATATAGGGATCCACTTTCTATCAGCTTATTAGCTTATTTCCAGTGACAGCAACTGTGGGTGTGGATGTGCACAGCCCTAAGGAACTGCGTCCCTGGTCTTTACCATCATGTGGTCATTTTCTTTGATTGGCAGGAACACAGTGGCGTTTGCATCCTTAAGCCTCACCAAAAAGTGCAAAGCAGACATTATGGACCCGGAATGCTCTCCCTGTCTCCGCATGGATTATGGCTCATCACAATAGCTAAATGTGGATTTCTGTGCATCCGAGATATTCATACTTTGGTAAATTCCTCATGGGATTTCTAGCTTGATCTTGTAGAAAGCACAAAAGCCTTTAGGAAAGGAATTGGAATTCTTTTTAGGTAAAGTGACTCATAACTTACATACCACTGATGGTATTATTGACTTTAATATTTCAGGGTTGTTTTTATGAGTGTCCCAGGGAGGAAATGCCAACCAATACAGTGAGAACTACAAATAAAGGGCAGAGGGCAGGGACAGGGCAGGTGTGCTCCAGCCCAGCTCCCTCACCTCACTGAGGTGGGAACTCGCTGAACGTCACTGCGCTTCCGATGCTCAGCTGTAATATTAATAAAGACTCACTCTCACGCTGTGGGGCTCTGGTGAGAACCAGGGAAAGGTTGTAGCGAAAATGCTTTGGAAACAGCAAACTGTTGTGCAAACCTAGGGAGGTTTGCTGCTGTCTTTGTATCATTTAACTTATTCTGTGATTCTTACCCAGGTTTCCAACCCCCACACATGAAACATCAAAAACATGTACATAACCAGGTAGACAGGGCCATGGTCATATCCATACAGCTCTCCTTGCTCAGGTGTGCAGTTAAGTACATTTGGAGTCCCTCAGAGTACTTTTAAGTGGACAATTTGCAAATTCTGCTACCCCACTGCTTGTTCAAATGGTTGTAATACCTGCCACAACTGAAAGTTGTTCAGCATGTGGCAAGATGTCAAAATTGTTCTGGATGGTTCCATGCAGAGCACCTCATATATGAGACTACAGTTTGTAAAATAAACCTAATGTCCATCAACAGAGGATAGGATAGATAAGTAATGGTACATAAAGAGTAACTAAGTAAATGTGGAATATTAACTGCAGGGGAAAAGGGTGTGGCCCTTTCTGAAGGTTCACAGGTACCCTCTGTGAAATATGGACTATTAGCCACAAAATGAGGAGGTCTTTTTGCTACAACACGGGAAAAAACCCTATGATATATTGTTAAGTGGGGAAAGAAAGGTGCATAACAAATGTATTATGTTAGTTTGTGTAGAAAGTTACATAAAAATGCATATGCAAAAAAAGCCTCTGGAGGGATATTTAAGGCCCTGATCATTGTCTTCCTTTGGGAGGCAGCAAACAGGGACGAGAAAGGGGTGTCATTGCATACTGTGCAGATTTTAAATTTTGAGGCCTGCCCAAAGGTAATTTTTTTAAAGGCCTCATAGCTGAGGAGGTGTGACACAGAAATCCTAGGTGTTCGTCAAGAAATAAACTGTTGCCCTGTGCACCAGATCAGTGATGTGTTTGGTTTGGGTTCTCATTAGAGTAGTTTAACTGGCATCCCCATACAGGCACCCTCCTTTCTTCACAGTGCCCATCACCCTCCCATCACATGCTGCTCGTCACTCCTAAGTGGAAACCATCTGATGCTTGAAAGGCCCTGAATTTGGCGGTTCTCCCCTAACTTCACAGCCTTCATAACACCATTCACTTCTCTGCCTTATTTCCCAATTATTACTGGGTGATAATGCTCCCTCTCCTTCCACCTTACAACTGGGATAAAGATCAGTCTCGGTGAATGTGTTTTTAACTAGCAGCCCTCAGTGCTATTATTACCAAGAGGCTACTTCCATTCCAGCTAAAATGCTGTTAGCAAATAGAAAGCTTTTTCCACAAACAGAAGTGCATGTAAGCCCCATAGAAAAACATGGTCGAATTGCATTTGTTAACTTTTGTACTTTACTCCTAAAACTATTAAGGAGACATTTGTTCGGTATCGGAGTCATTCTCACCAGGGGCATGGGATTCAGTCGATGAGAATTTCAGTGGATGGACAAAACATTCTGGTGAACGGGAGAAATGACGGCACTCTTGTTTACCTAAGATGGAGGTATGTACAGTGCACAGTAAGCAGCTCACACGATGTGTTTTATGGTACAGATTTTGTTGTTATTCAGATACAGCAAGGCCAACAGGAAACAAGAGGAGACAGTTTGTTGAATTATTAGCTCCCCAAAGGAGGGGGGTGCCACACAAGAAAGCATCTGGGTGAGGAGGAGGCAGGGGACACGAAGACATAGGTTTCCAGGGGTAGAAACAGGCAGGCCTAGGACTGGCTAGAGTGAGTAATCTCACTGGGTGCTGGGCCCTAGGGGCTGTTGCTCAGTTGTCTGGTATGTGGCCCTGAGTCATTTAGGCTAGGGAAACAGTGACTCTGGTATTAGAATCCAATAGAGGAGGTGGCTGGGGGTATGGACTCCGGACTGGTGCATTTGAAAGATGGGCTCCTGGGCCAGGCGTTCACTCTCTCTAGGAACTAGCCAATCCTGGGAGCACTACCTTCAGGCTCACCAAGGGCCCATGTCCCAGAGCTCAACATACACAAAATAAAAAATCACAACTAATACATGTGCAAGATCAGTCCTCCCTTTTATAACACATTGAAGGAGCAGAAGAAACAAGGGCAATTTTGAACCTTATATGACTTTTAAAACTCCTGTTTACCCTGTGTGTGTGTGTGTGTGTGTGTGTGTGTGTGTGTGTACAGATACAAATAAAGTTGCTTTCCTAGTTGTATTTATCTTGGACTTTTTAAGATAAAGTTAAATTTAAAACTATTTATATTTTTCCTTGGAATTAAATTAAAATTCTAAATAAACAAATACTACCCTAGATGATGACCAGGGAGTTAGAAGCAGGAAGGTGATTGCCTGTTTAATCTACCAATGGACATCATTTCTCAGTGTGCCATTCACTTCAGCAAAGATAATACTTTATGCCTTTAAAACAGTAATAAAAGATGTCCATCCATTCTCAGTGACACTTGAAAATGTTAAATGTTGTAGCAATTTTATATTGTAACAATTTTGGGAGTCACCTATTTCAGAGGTTCATTTGAAGACTTCATTATCATGCCTCTTACATACAGGATCCTAAATAAAATATTAACCCATATCTCACTGGTTAAGTCCTAACCTGTCCTTGATAGCAACTGAATACACAGCACCTTGGGCAATGGCAAATAAGTGCCAGAGCCTATTTTTAGAAAACAGGGCATTTTCATCCACCGATGGTTAACTATTTGGACTTATGACTCAAAGCAGAGTTGAGTCTGCAACCTTGTTCCAAGACACTTTAGTTTGTGACCACAGGCATGTGACAACACTTCTAAATGATCTGTCAGTATCACTCATGATGGGGTCTGGTAGAAACAGATTGGCAAGGATGTGAATAATATTCCATTACACACACACACGTCACATCCTTGCCATCACTAGTTACACTCATGCATATATAATTATAAACATATTACAGAAAATTTCCCATTCTATATAATATTATTCATCTGCAAAAAACTAGTGAAATCTTGCATTTGTGACAATATAGGTGGATCTCAAAGGTATTATGCTCAGTGAATAAGTCAGAAAGAAAAAGACAAATACCCTATGATCTCTCTTATAGGTAGAACCTAATGTAAATAAATAAAACCAAGCTCATGGGTTCAGTGAACAGATTAGTAGCTGCCAGAGGTAGAGAGTGACAGAGAGGAGAGAGAGGTGAAATGGGTGAAAAGGTAGAAAGAAAACCGATAGTGTTTTATCAGTAAAGATGGCTATCCTTCACAGCTGCAAAGCAGAGGTTTTTGCCTTACTCACCTCCTAATCAGGAGCACTGAAGCTGGGGAAATTTCAGTAAATAAGTTTTCTATAACAGAAAAGGAAAAGGCCTAACATAAAAGGAAAATGTTATTAAATGTGTTGTATATGCATTAATGTATATATAAATCATGTAACCTATTTAAAGGGAAAACTGCAAAAACCTTGTAGCCACAGCCAATTTAAGAAATAAACATAGCTCTGGGCTGAAAGCCCCTTTCTGCGTAAGTTGGATGGAGTCCTCAAGTTCTCTTCCAAGTGTTTCCTAATTATGGTTTTGTAGCCCATGCATCCTTCTTGCTTTTTTGTTAATGCAGGAGGTTTGGAGGAATCTTAGCCAATGAGATTTTTGAATATTCCCAGCAACTTTTAACATTTCTGAGGAACAACATGGATGAGGAGAATGACTGTTTAAGTAAAACACAAAAAGAAAACTTGGATTTGGAATCAGAACCTGAACAATCAGTTGAGTTCTAATATAGTTCTTTCTCTCTCAGCTCACTTTTTAACTTGTGGTTTTCTTTTAGCATATCGTTAATAATATTCCTTTTTATCTGTGGATCCCATAATTTTCAAAAGGAGCATGAACTACATACATCTGAGGCAAAATACCCAGTTTTTCCTCAAAGCAATCCCAAATATTAATCTCAAATCTTATCCAAACTACAGTACAAGATCTAGACTTGCTTTAAAAAGGTCTTACCACCAATACAAGGGTAGGGCAAACCTGACTCTACTTTTTTTTTTTTAATTTTTAAAAAAAGATTTATTTATTCATACAGAACTGGGGTACAGGCCAGAGATGCGGAGGGTGAGAGGATGGAGATGCAGAGTGGGGAGCAGAACAGGCAGATCGACAAAGTACACTGCTCAGGGGAGCAGCGGGTGGGTCAGGAGAGGTCTGCCGAGCCATGTGGTCACCTCCGGGGCAGGCAGGAATCGAACTCATGAGGAAGTGGCTTTAGCTTCTTAGTGCTGTGCTTTAACCTGCTGCGCCACCAGGGAGGGCCAAACCTAACTCTACTTTTAATTGACATGCATTATTAAAATGTCTGGTCAGAGAACAATATTCATTCATTCAATTATGTAACAAATATTTATCAAGCTCCTATTAGGTATTAAACTGGGTGGGGGAAGAGGGAAATGCACATTAAAAAAAAAAAAACAGAAAAACTGCCTGCCTTTCATGGAGATTACTTAATTGGGGGCTGGAGTTAGCAGAGGGATAGAAATAAACAAGATAGCAATAAGATCCATTCAGCAAATAAAAATGAGTTGGTGTAATAGTGTTGGGCTGGAATAGCCTCTCTAGGGAGATAATTTTCAAACTGAGATCTTAATTAAAAATATGTGCCGATACGGGAGACTTGGTGATGGGAAACCTGCAGGGATTACAATTGAGATTGGGGGGAAAAATGTACAAAATGATGTAAAAATAAACTGTTATAAAATAAAAAAATAAATAATAATAATAAAAGGAAAAAAAAATGTGCCGATATGCAAAGGTGGAGTGGGGGCTCACAAAGAGTACTCAGGATAGAGGAGAAAGAGCTTGGCACATTTGAGGACCTAAAAATATCCTGTACAGTTGAGCAAGCAAGGGAAAGAGGAAGTGAGGTCTTTGCATTGGGAAAAGACCAGGTAACGAAGGTCTTTTGTATACCAGGTAGAGATTGGGTATTATTGCATGTAGTAAGAATCTATTAATATGTTCTGAGCAGAAGACTAGCAAGGTCTTGTTTATAGTTCTGAAATGATGACCTGCCACTCTTGGGAGGATATTTACTGTAAGTAGCAAGAATGGAAGCAGGGAGGTTAGTTAAGATGGCCAAAATGAAGAGTCAGGTAACAGAGGTGGGGGAGTGTTGGAAGTGGTAGATTTCAGAGGTGCATTTGACAGAACTCGCTGAAAGTTTGGACACAGGGGGTGAGGGAAAGAATGTATTCAAAGATGACACTTAGATTTTTTTACTTAAAAATATGTTTGAGACATTTCCCTTCAAAGCTGGGGAGCTTCAGGGGAGGAAACCATTGTCAAGAAAGAAGGGTATCTAAAATCAGTTTCTACTGAACTTGAGGAACCTGGTCAAGTGTAGATACCACATAGGCTACTGGATCTATGAACCTTGAGTTTAGGAGAGAAGCCAAGACTGGAGAAAGAGTCAAGGGCTTATGGATAGAATTTAAATCTATAAAATAGGTGCTACCATCACGGAAGAGTGAACGATGCGAAACAGGAGGAGACCAGGACACGGTGTAAGTTACAGAGGTCCAGGAGAAGGGGTCAGGAAGACAAAGGAAAATGACAAGGGGCAGTCACTGAGTTTGCAGGAAAACCAGGAAAGGGCCCAAAATTCTGTTTGAGACATTCTGCTTCAAAGAGAAGTATCGGGAGAGGATGGTGATCAGGGAGGAATGTAGTGGTCCATGAATGGTGGCTTTTCTAGTACAGGAGGTACGAGAGTACGTTTGGGAAGGACTCATACTGTAGGGAAAGATCTGCAGAAGTGATAAATGGATGGTGCCAAAGGTGAAGGGATTTAAGAGTAAGAGCCTCAAGGAGGAGAAAATATTAAGACTGTAAGCAAGCACAAATGGAATGGCAAGCCCTAGTAGGCAGGAAAATGTGATCTACAGTAGTAAGACAGTAAGTGATTCAGTAAGGCCCTCTCTGCTGGCACAATTGATTAAAGCAGAGTACTGTGAAGCTGGCCAAAGCTGCTTCTGTGCAAGTTTGATCTCACCCCAGAAGTGATCCACATGGAGCAGCAGACCTCTCCTGTCTTGCCCGCTGCTCCCCTCAGCAGTGTACTTTGTCAATCTGCCTGTTCTGCTCCCCACTCTGACTCTGGTGAACCCTTTCACTGCCCCTGCACCTCTGGCCTCCATCTCAGCTCTGCATGCATAAATAAAAACAAATCTTTAAAAAAAAGAAAGTGATTTGTTGTATGTCTGATCTGTGCAATCATTGCTGCTTTCTCAGTAAAAAGTGACTCATAAAAGGACAGGATGGTAGGAATTAAATTAATAAAACATTATATCTTGGGCAGGCAAATTACCTTATAAAAGGAATGCAGTTAAGTGCCAAGGGATTCAAAGCAATCACATAAAGTAGGGTGGAAGAGCTGGATGAAAATTAAAGAAATGTCTGTCTGTCTGTCTGTCTTCTAAGATACAAAAGGAGAAGAGGATGAGCATTGACTCATCACAAGAAGAATTATCCCTGCTTGTTGATTTGAAGTCATTTCCCTGGATCTACCAAAAAAACCAAGAGGTATTTATAAAACATGGGACACGTTTGAAATAAAATTTTATAGTGTGCCAAATAGATGTTTCCTATCAAAACTCACTATAAAGTTAGAAAGAGCAAGATACTACTCTTCCAGAGCATTACATTGTGCAAGTGCAAAGTTACTTTCCAATAACAAAGTAGCAGATTAAGAAGAAACAGTACCTGTATATGTGGTGGAATACAACTCAGCTATAAAAAAGGTTAAATCTTGCTACTGGCAAAACATGTGTGGAACTGGAGGAGATGATGCTAAGTAAAAATAAATCAGAAGAAAAATACCAGATGTTTCACTCATATGTGGAATACAGAAGAAAAACAAAGGAACAAATCAAAACAAACCCTGGAAATATGAAGAAATGGTGCTAATACAGAGAGGGCAGGGAGGCATGGGGATAAAACAGAGGTGAAGGAGGCCTAATGATGTGTATGGTAAAGGCAAAAGGGTGCTTCAGTGGTGGGTGTGGTACAGTCACCTATTCCCCTAAATCATATACAATATTATAAGTCAATGTTATAATATTATAAGTCAATAATAAGAAGAACTATACTCAGGTTAATATGACATCCAATATAATATCCAATAATAAAAGCAAATATTGAACTATGACATCTGATGCCGCCTGTTTGAGTAAATTGGGGGATGCTGTAAGATTTGCTTTAAGGACAAAGGTGGGCCAGGAACAGAATGGACATTGTGGCTTCAGATATGCAGGAAGGTGACTTAAGTGGCAACTGATGTCTGGATTTAGCCTCTTTTTCCTGTCTCACTCAAGTTGCAAATAAGAGAGAAGACTGGTGTTCCTTGGTCACCTGTTCTCTATTTTTTCACTAAATTATTTTCTTTGCATTGGTCTATGATGGCATAAGTTCAGTTACCACTTTACATAGTAGTAGTTAGACTTAACTAAGGTATTTCAGTGCTATTAATTCATGTATACCTCATGCTATTAATCTCTGAACTTTATTTTTGATTCTAGAAGAGTAGTCTATGTTGTATGACTATACATACCTACATGTGTGTAAATATGTTTGCATATCTATGAATTATCAACTCATTTCTTTTGTTCATTTAAGTGATAGTCGTGTT